TCTATTCACCTGGGTGGAATTGGGGCTGTTGTGGGGAAAATCTAAAACACACACACACACACACACACACACACACACACACACACACACACACACACACGCACAGACACACACAGACACAAATTCCCTTACTCCTGAAGATAATGGTAATTCGTCGTGTAGTGTGATGTTGCAGCCAGTGCTTTCTTCTTAGGGGTAATGACGGCACAGTCACATTTTCAGTTCCTAATCCACTTCAGGCCTCCCTCGAATACAACACATCCCCACCCAACCCTAAAGGTGGGTTGGATACATTCACGATTTTCCTCGCTTTGGAGTAAAATTTGTGAAACCGTGACTGAAAAGCATTTAAAACTGAAAGACTTGACTGCACCCTGGTTTTCCCTATTTTGTTTTTAATAGGGAAAAAGACAGCTGTCTTCTCCTCATATATGGGGACCAAGCTGTATTTTTTGCTACCCTATTTTCTTCTCTCAATCGTGTATCTACCTCACGCTAGCTTCTTACCTAATGTATTACCTCTTATCCCGGAGGATGCAATTTCTCAGTTCAGGAGTCGGCCTTAAATCTACCAACTGTGCCTATTAGTGCCTAAGCTATCCTAAGGTTATGGGTCTATTCCTACCTAACTCTGCTCTGTGCAGGGAGCAGCAACCAAGCTCCTTACACCTGGCACGGGCTGGAAAGTGCAACGCTTCCATAACGAGCCAGGAGGGACAAGCCGACTTAATCAGTCAGTGAACCCGAAGTATGCCACACAGGGGGTCGTGGGAATTCGAATGGTGGGGAATCGAAACCGCGAGCTCCTGTGTACCACTTGCGTGCTCACCCACCTGAGCGGCGCCGCTTGGCCGTTGCAGCCAGTCCTTCATGCCGTCCACAAGGCCTTCTTCTGTCTTTGGCAAGTCAATGCTACGCCGCATCTCAGCATGGAATATTTTGTGACTCGGTGTACCCAGCCACACACTCGAACAACTTTCTGCCCAATGTGAATCGGACATGCAACCTTCTGCTTGCCCTGCAGAGACCTTAACCAGTCCGCCAAGTGGGCCAGGCACAGGTTAACCATGGACCACCACGGTCCTTGTTGTACCTTTTCACCTCCCACCTATTTCCATAAGCTCGTAACTCTATTTGGTGAGAGTTTGATTGCTGGTATGTGCACATACAATAGGGCTATGGGGCGAAAGGGTGGGGATTGTTGTGAACTTGTGACATAAAAAGGAAGAGAAAAGTGTGAACAAGTCTTGCATGGATCGCTTTAATTACTCTGCCCAAGTGTACTCCTGACTTCAGGGAGGTCGATTACCTGGCAGAAAGCCTACAATTTCAACAATCCCGGACGTCTTTCGCCAGTCTCTTAATCCTGGGTTTTCTCATGACCTACACACTGCTCTAGGGATTAGGCCATTCTGTCGCTGTGTGCACGCTTAGAAAGCATGATCCTGACCGTAAGACTGGCCAGGTTGATGCTAGCATAGCATGAACAGAACAATATGACCCGGTCCCAAGGACAACGTATGTGTTTGGTTTTTGCCGCCTTCTGTCGCTGTGTGCATGCTTAGAAAGCATGATCCTGACCGTAAGACTGGCTAGGTTCATGCTAGCATAGCATGAACAGAACAACAATATGACACGGTCCCAAGGACGACGTATGCGTTTGGTTTTTGCCGCCGTGAGTCGACCTGCCAACCTCCTAGCCACTGAATTTGGGGTTATGGACCTGCATTCTCTCTGTACGCAGTGTGTGCGATAGTTCTCGGGCGCATGAACGAGGGTCCCTGTATGAGGGCCCATGAATGAGGGTCCCTTTCAGGATCAGAGACCCTGCACTCTCACTCTCTGTCGATGCTGCTAACAGCAGAGCCTCTGGAGAACTTGAGGGGAAAATATGTTCTGGTTAAAGCAGTAGGAGATAATTAACCCCCCACACTACGGCACATAGGTCGTTCCCTCTTACATTACATTATCAGACCGTTATTATTGCATTTTTTGGCAGGATGGCATTTGCCCATGCATCTCTGCGTGTGTACGATCCGGCCACTACCTTCTTCCCCCGTATACAACGTTCGGTCACTAAGCTGTATTTAGACTGAGAGATACGCCAAATACAGCTAAAATGACGGTACGTTGTTATTCAGGTGAAGAAGGTAGGGAGGACCAACGTATGACACCAACAGGCCCCCGGCACCTCTTCCCCACCCCCCTTCCCTGACCACGCCCCTCTTAATGCCATGCAACTTCTTCTCCTTTGAGAGCGAAGCCGCAACAGGGCATCTAGTAAAAGATTGGTGGGCTGGTCATGAACATTTACAATGATGTGGGGCTTCGTGACATCGATTCCAAACCTGGAAGTCGTATAAATTTCCAGATTATTGTATTATCATAGGAGATGATTAAAAAAAAACCACTTTGGCACATAGGTCGTTCCCTCTTACATTACATTATCAGGCTATTATTGTTTCATTTTTTGGCAGGACGACATTTGCATGTGCATGCGTGCGTGTGTGCGATTTGGCCACTACCTTCTTCACCCGTATGCACTGTTCGGTCACTATAGCTGTATTTAGACTGAGAGATAAGCCAAATACAGCTAAAATGACCGTACGACGTACGTTGTTATTCGGGTGAAGAAGGTAGGGAGGACCAACATAGTCAGTTTCCCTTTCCTTTTTGATGAGCTGTTAATTATGCATACCCCTCTTTTGTTGGGAACTTGTGCGGCAGGGTGGATGGGACCGATTGCGAGGCGGCAGGTGGCTGGCAGGTGCAGGCGGACGGATGGCAAAAGCTGGTGTTGCCCACGACCCGCAATTCCAGGTCAAAAGTACTGCGAAAAACACATGCACAGAGGCCGACTATATCAGAAAATTGTGCCTACGACGGCGGGTGGTAATATGACTGCTGAGTCTGCTGTTGAAAAAGGCCAAGAAGGGGGCCAGGCTGCAAACCCCTGTCCAATGCAAGTTGACCAGGTACAGGCCAGCCGAGACTCGAGGGCGATGCCGATGGTGAAAGTGGAAGAAGCAGGGTCTGTGGAAGCATCAAGTGGCAAGTGTATGCTTCTGCCAGGTCCATCACCTGGAAGCGTGCCAGATATGGGAACATCTGGTGCTGGAGGGACAGACATGAGAGAAGTCCCAACACAGGGGGGAGTGCCAGCACAGGGCGCAGTTGCAGGACCGGGGGGAGTCCCAGCACAGGGGGCAGGCACAGGACAGGGAGGAAGACCAGGAACGCCTGCTGGCAAGGATGGAGCTCAGGAGATCGAAACCTGTCGGAGAACGGATGGGAAAAAGTGGAAATGCACACGTGCATGCGTTCCGGGGCAGAAGTATTGCGAAAAGCATGTGAACAGGGGGAAGCAGTATCACAGAAAAGTGGCAATGCAGAATCAGGCTGCAGCAGAGGCACGCGCAACGGGAGAGCAGAGAGTGCTGCAACAGCAGATGCAAGGTCAAGAGGGGGAAGGAAAAAGGGGCATCGAGTTCACGGTTACTGGTTTGCAGGGTCATGTGCAAGGGGCGACGGCAATGATTGTCCCGGCGGAGACGTACTACAGATGGGCAGGGCTGTCTCCAGGAACGACGATGATTACATCAGCAGGGGGCGCGCAGGTGCTCATGGGCTTGAAAGGCCCTATAGGGCTAGGAATTGGGGTAGGGGGGCAGCTGCAGGGAGGGTTATTCGGTGTGGGACCTGTGCAAATCATGCCAGGTCAGGTGGTTATTCACGGCCCTGTGGGAGGGGTAACCATGGGGCCTTCGGGGCTTGACGCGGGGGGGGGGTCAAAACGTGACAGGGATCCAGGAGAGCAGGCTGACTTGCGTCCTGGGAGATGTAGGAGGACAGATGGGAAGAAGTGGTTCTGTTCAAAGCCTGTTGTGCCTGGACAAAAGTACTGTGAGAGGCATTTGCACCGTGGAAAGCAATGGCAAGCTGCTGAGGAAGCTAAGCAAAACCGCGTGCAGCAGCAGCAGCAGCCACAACCTCAGCAGCAACAGCAGCAGCAGCAGTGTCAGCCTCCGCCACAGCAGCAGCAGGAGTTGCTGCAACAGGCACAACGACAGACAGTAGAGGGGGAAGCACAACAGCATCCACAGCCCTTTGAACATCAAGTAGAACAGCAGCAAAGTGAGCAGCAGTATCCTCAAGTGCAGGCGTTAGTGAAGGTTGAAGTCGGGGCAGAACAGCCGCAAGAATTTCAGGCCCAGCAGAAGCCCCAGGTACATGTGCAGCCGCACAAAAATCAGCTTGTGCTTGATGGGCGTTTATTAGTGCCTGGAGAGCTAGGTCAGGTGCATAGGCAGGAGCAGAACCCCGGAATGGGAATGCGGCAGGAGGACCTGGACAGGCAACAACCTCGGCACTTTCAAGAATCAGGCCAGTTCCAGGTACAGCGGCAATTCCAGAAACATCCAGCACTTCAGGACCAACAGCAGGGCCGCACTTCCAAAGAGCACTATCCAAGGGAAACAATGAGGGGTAGTATATCATATACTCCTCATGCCGATCCGACCACGGCTCCCCATCATGAGTCAATGATTGTGATCTGGCAGCCACACCAGCAGCAGCCACCAATCAATCTATCTCCGCCACCACTCGTTAGCTCGGGGGTTGCTAAACAGAGTTCTCCACCCCAAGGTGCGATGAATCCAGATCCTTCCCGTCCGAAGGAAGGGAATGCTACCGCTGCCGGTGCGGAGCTTAAGCGGCGATGCTGTCGAACGGATGGCAAGCGATGGGTTTGTTCAAACAATGCTGTAGCAGGAAGCAAATACTGTGAAAAGCATGTGAATCGAGGCCGGACGGGGGCAAGACCGATTGCCCTTGGTGGTGGAGGGGATCAAAGGCCTCTCCTGCCAGCGGTTCCCGGGAGTTTCGTGACATCCAAGGCCATGCCAGCATCACAGCCTGTGCCATCATCTCAGCCTGGCCCATCTTTCTCTTCAGCTCCCATCTCCTCTTCCACGTCGATGCCAACCTCGGCTTCCATTGTCCCTCCCCCTCTTCTTTCAGCTGCAAACCTGCCCCCGGCAAATGCATCCCTCTCCCTCGCCAGTCTGAGGCAGTGGGCACTGCAGCAGGATATTGCGGGATATGACGGAGTTGTTCGCGAAGGAGGTGTCAATGCCTCAAGTTGTGGTCCCACCATGCTTCCTAGTAGCTGTGGGGCATTCAGTTCCATGTCAACAACCACCTCTGTCCCCAATGTGGATGTTCCAAGTGCCGGCAACACAGGTCCAAGCGCTAGCCTTATTGCCTGCTCATCTTCTCCATCCCCTCTGACAGCATCGTTGCCTCTCCAGATGCCCATGTCTGGTATGTCTAGCTTGCAAATGGTGGACATCGCATCCCAGGGGTTTGTGATGAAGCAGCAGGACCAGCATGCTTCTGAACAAGGGCGCTTCGCAGAGCAGCAACCGCCCAGCCCAAGTCCGTCGGATGCGAACATGTTCATGGAAGAGGAGGGTGCCGGCGAGTTATCCAGGAGGGGGGATGTGGGCGATTTAGAGATGCAGGACGTGCACGACGACGAGGAGGACGAAGATGAAGACGAGGACTGTAGGAATGTTATGCAAAATGTAGACCAGGGAGGGAAGCAGCATCCATTTCATGGCCTGGGCAGCGAAGACCGTAGCGGAGGAGGCGAAGAATGGGCCAGGACGCATTCTGTTGTATCTCCTTCAACGTCGTCAGAGGCGGAAGGAGCTGGTGTGCTGGGGGGCATTGGAGGAGAGGACGGTTGTGGGATGCTGGGGAAAAAGGACCAGCAGCATTCAGCAGCTGTGCACCCGTTACCATCACCATCGTCTGCTTCGGAATTGACACCAGATTTCTCGCACTTTGGGATGTCGAGTATGGGCTTGGATACTGGAAGATCGGGGTCCTTTTTCCAAACCATTGGGGCGGGCCATGGAACTGGGCCTGGAATGACAGGTGTGACAAAGCCGTCAAGCGCATTGAATACTGCTGTGTCAGTCTCCACAGGAGCAAATGGGGTGCCCACAGCGACGGCTGCTACGTGCTAACTTCAGGAGGTTCATGTTTAGAGCATGCAATTGAATCTAGACTTCTGTGAGGTTTAAGCTGGTGACTTGTGAGCTTATTCCTTATTCCTCTGTGCTTGCTTCTTTCGGTGTGTGTGTGCTCTCGCACACCTCTGCCACAAAAAAGTAAAAGCAAGAGAGAGAGAGAGAGAGAGAGAGAGAGAGAGAGAGAGAGCGGAGGGGATCATGGGGGTGCTGATGTGTGTCATTGTGTAGGCTGCCATACTGCTGTTATGAATATATTGTGTGTAGAGTGTTATTTTCTTTCACCCGTTTACTTTCCCCTTTTATAGAAGATTTTTATCGGTTGGTTAGGATATCAGTCAGAGAGACATTTGGCCTGTATGGCTGGAGAGTCTTGGGCCGGGATGTCATCAGCTAAGAGGGTTGTGCCTCTTTTCTTCTGAGAGGTTGCCAGGGCTCACACTTATAGTCCAGCTCATGTGAGGAAGGACAAACGCTACTCCGAGTGGTTGAACAAGATCGACGGTTGGTGGGCTGGACTAGTAGATTGAGCTGATCGCTGCTGTGATAGTTTTCTTACTTAGTAGATCGAGGATGACCTGCCCTGCTTCCCGACTAGCAGCTTGTGTTTTTGAAAGCTGGAGTGAGCAGGAGCAGTTGGAGCATCGCAATTTGCACGACCAACAAGGTATTACATTACGATTTACCCACCCTTCGCCCTTATGACTGCATCCGTCCTGATGTACAATCCATGCTCCCTTGAGTCATTCTAACCACAATTTGCATGTTCATTCAAATATAAAACTCAAATCTGCAGGCTATTACAGAGAAATTTTGCATGCCCCCTCTCCATCGGCATCCCTCCCAAATCAAGGCATGCTTCAAAGTGCAACGTCCTTATCTTATTTAATAAGTTCACTTCTATAAGGCTGATAAGCTAGATCACTTTTGTATTTCTCAAGAAGGAAAAAAAAAGCCGCAGAAGGAAAGGAAAGTAATATTCACAGTATGGACTCCAAAAGCGTAAGCGAAGTCGCTGTGCTGATATGCCTCGTGACTGCTGCTCTCACCCACTTCTCGTTGGCTTTCTGCCGGTGGTGTTATGCTTGCATGCCTGCTCTGCTGGGTTTGTGGGATGTATGCCTGCTGTGATGGTACTGTGGCCTGTATTCAGCCTCTTCATCCAGCCTAACTTATCTTGAAAGGTTGTCTCAGTTTTTTGTGAGGTTTCACTGGGAGCCAGTGCTCTCCGAGGGACGAAAGCGGATGGGATGCATCTTGTGGACTACTCTCATATTAGTGTAGAAACAGGTGCCAGAAGCAGGTCGTGCAATTTCAGAGTTGCCGTACCGTCTTCATCCGAACAGAATGCCCCGGTCACTATATCTTCACCGTATTCGGGCAACTTTCAGTCTGGATACAGCCATAATGACCGGGTGTTCTATTCGGTCGAAGATGGTAAGAGGTACCCCATGTGGTACAGGTGGAAAGAGACAGAGGAGACGAGGTTCCGTGGTTCATGGGAGCAAAGTGAAGATGGATAGATATTGCCAGTAGGGGTTTGCGTGATACAGGTACGGGACTACATAGGCAATCTAGAGATAGCCATGCCTGCGTGCACTTGCATCTTGCGGCGGATTTTCCCTCTTGCCAAAGGGTGGTCTTCTCACCCGCCTAACACTCCCTGCACCATTCCCCTGCTTCGCCTACCTTCTTCCCCCGCATAGAACGTAGGGTCATTTTCGCTGCATCTGGACTGAAAGGTGAGCCAAATACGGCTATAATGACTGTACGTTCTATTGGGGGGAAGACGGTAGGGATGTCAACAAGTCTCTCAGGGTGAGACAATGTACCTCTCCCCTGAAGCCCTGGGTGAAGCAGGGAGACAATATACCTCTCCCTTTGCAACTTGCTTGTGGTATTTGGCACACCTTCCAGTCTCGATGCAGGGATAATGACAAACAGACGTTCCATTCAGTGAGCAATCTGAGGATAGAATATTGCGTCATCGAGAAACTCGTGGATGTATCTGTGTGTTCCCATCTCTGCTTTTGTGTTTCCAAATCCTGCTCAGTGTAATTGATCTCAGCTCATATGTGTGGAGACTGGAGAGAGAGCAAGTGACTACCGTTTTCACCCGAATAGAACGTCTGGACATTATCCCTGCATCGAGACTGGAAATTGTGTTAAATATAGCAATAACGACTGGGCGTTCTAGTTGGGTGAACGGTAGGTGCGTAGAATGTCATTGGTGAATAGTGAATGTGGTCGTTGACTTGTACCAGGTTCGTTGGCAAAGCTGTCTCAAATCTGTGAAGGTGATTTCCAGTCCTCAAAGATAGCGGTGACGGAGTTTGTCACAGAGGAAACTTCTGGGTGATTATTAAATCTTTAAAGACAATCCAACTTCCTCCTTCCACTTTTGTTTTTCTTCTGTTTGTGTACTCTTTCCCCTTCTGGCACTTCGTTGTCAAATCTGGCGTTCTGTTCGTGTGTTTGTGTTGTCAAATCTGGCGTTCTGTTCGTGTGTTTGTGTTGTCAAATCTGGCGTTCTGTTCGTGTGTTTGTCACACTTTTAGTCCTGAATTTGATCTTGTTATGTGCTGGACTGGGAGCATAATAAAGGTCCTTTGATTGCAGGGCATTAATCATTAGTCGTCTTTTTGCAGTGTAGTAGTGCAATTTGCGCATGGGTATGGGTACTAAGAGGCCTCGCTCCATGACTCGCCAGATGTGCAAAATGAGAATGAATCATCCGTTAGAACATGCAAAGGTACGCCACCATATTGTTTCTTAAATTTTCTGTCTTTTGAGCGAGGCCTATGGTTCGAGAAAGGTATGGGAATTGGGAAACTGAATCTACTTGTGCATTCCTTCTGTATCTTTTTGTTTGAACTCTCTTGTGTCTTTTTGTGTGCGGCACAGCTTTGAGGATAATTCTCTGATGGCAAGAATAGGATCATTGTGGAGCTTATTTTTTAATTTCAGCTTCGGGTTTATACGTCTGTCTCTTGGTGGTACTGGAGGAGTGCCTATCAGATGAGGCCGTTTTAGGTAAGAAGATTCGAACACTCTTTCTGTTCGCTACACTGAAGATTATGGAGGATTCGGTTTTATTGAGTTGAAACTTGAAAGTTGAAACTTGGAAAAAAAAAAAAAAAAAAAAAAAGATGTCAAGTCGTGAACCGTAGGATTGAGTGCTCTTGTATCAGAGGAAGCCCTTGATGGAAAAATCTGACGACTCGAGGGATCGCTCGTCTAATTGACTGCACCTCTCAGAAGGGAACAATTAAACGGCAGTTTCATCGAAAAATCATTGATCGTCACAATGTCAAATGGGCACAATTATTTTTAGTCACCACCAGGGCTGGAAACGAACTGCGTGCCAAAAAAAACTGAACCGGTGTGACCCTCCTTTTGCCTGGGGCCACCAACCCATTTTGCTGCCGAGCCCCTAACGTTGGGCCGGTATACAAGCTGCGTATTTGTTTTCGGACCCGGAAAGCGTATTGGTGGTTTACAGTGCACCACCAGTGCACCCGGCCGTGGAGGCGCTGCACCAAGCTTTTCGGAACTGCCAGTGCTGCGCGCTAAAAGGAATTTTGCCTGGCGCCACCAGCCATTTTGCTCCGGAGGCCGAGCCCTGAAAGTTGCGCCGCCGGCATACAAGCCGCATATTTGTTTTCCAAGAGGGAAACGTATTGGTGGTTTAAACCACGAGTACACCCGTAGTGCCGCGCTTCTTTTCTTTTTTGGCTGGCGACACCAGCCATTGCGGTCCTGTAGGCCCGAGCGGTGAATGTGCAGGATGACAGACATTTCTCCACAAGGCTGGGGGCGTGTACTGGCGGTTTAAGATGTCATATATCACTAGATAGAAGACTGCAAGTAAAGGGTGCTTCAATTTTCAATCTACCAATTCCCACGGACCTCGACCTGGATGAAGCACCACACGCAGGCATAGTGAGATACCTGTGGGATGAGAAATACCCCTTTCCTACCCCATACTAACACCCAGTGTGTGCGTAGGATTATGCCCCCTGAGATGGGCCTATCGTAGTCTATAGTCCGCTCTGCGTGGACTCTCGGATGGGTGCCGTAGTGATGGGAAACATGCTAGCTGTACCCAGGCTCGACCATGGCACCCCCACGGACCTGGTACATACCAGCGAGACTGACAGGTTGGAGGGGCCAAGTGCCCACGCAGAGGTATCGGCAGTTTCAACAGTCCTGGCAGTTTCTTGGTTATGACAGTCTAGGAAGTAAACCCTCCCCCTTACATATACCCTAACCTATCCCTCCCCTCTCCCGCCCCACCCCACGCCCCCGGCCGGCCCATGGTGGAGCCAAGATAAGACCCTGATCCTCAGACCCCCAGGGACCAAGCACTCAATCAGCCCTCCCTATGGCCCTATGCAGCATAATACAACCATGGACCTAGACCCCATGGGCGGTCTGCAGGCAGTGTCTGTATAAATCTTACCATCCGTCGTCCCAAGGGGGGCAAGGTGGGGAGGGGGGGGGGGGGGAATGGCTTGTACGTTATGAAAGCGCTCACCGGTGTATGCGCGCGAGGCAACGGAGTTTGAACCTGCAACCTTGTATCACAATGCACATTTCCGTTTTTTTCTTTTTCAAACAACACAAGGCCCCTTCTATTCTGGGGGGGCAACAGTCCGTGCTCGCTTATCACCGGCAAGCATGTTTGTTCTTTTTTTTTTTTTTTTTTTTTTTTTTTTAC